CACACACACACACACACACACACACACACACACACACACACACCTAAATGCCAGATTGTTAAAGCATTTCACTTCCTTGTTTTGTAACCATCTGAAGGAGCTGTTGCGTCACCGTTTTCCCAGCTAAGATGCTCTTTAACCATCTGAGCGCTCAAAGAGCTTCTGAATAAATAAACAGTAGTTTTTTCATGCCATTAATCATCCTAAACACACAAACCATTAAACACAGATTGAAGTTCATTTCTCAGAGTTCACAGTGAGGTAATCAGCTGCTTGTTGAAAACAGAGGTCAGAGAACAGAGACACATCACCAGTATGTAAATCATCTTCCTGCAGAGAGTCGTTGGAGCAGCAGGGCGTCTCTCAACTGTAACGACCTCATTTAAACTCCTGGTTGCGCCGCTATTCGGCAGCACAAAGAGCCATCTGGTTCGCCTGGAGCGAGAGAAATATTCTATTAATATTTATAATGATCAGAGCGTCAACAAAGGCAAACATAAAGGTCAGGAGGTCGGAACAAACAGGAAAGCGTTTCGGGGGGCTGTCAAACCCGCCGAGCTGAGACGGAAGGATTTTGCACACAGGGTCGCGGTTTAGTGCCGATAACCTAAACTGGTGATTATTTCATCTCCATACACCCTCCTGTGAGGACTCATGATACCAAATGTGGATTCATCCATCAGTAAAAATAGTCCCCAACTACAGGAATGTGTCAGATTTGATTGGTAAACGGACCGTGACCATCTGTGTAGGAAACATCGGAGCTGCTTTTAATTAATGAAACTATATCTGTTTGTCTTCACTGAGAACCGCTTCACTCTGTGTTGCTCATAATAAGTTGTACATGCTGTCAGGTCAATGGAAACAATCCATTTGGTGCTCAAGTCAATTGTAAATGACTTCATTAGGTAAGTTATAGGTGACTGGACTTATTCTGTGAGTGGCTTCTTCCTTCTAAAGCTGAGGTTTCTTTTCCTACTGTGGTTGGGAGATCTTTTCCACAGTCACTTCATCCTGTTATCCCGCTGTGACTGCCAGTGACCAATACATCGCTGTCGGTAGCTGAGGGGGGTGAGGTGCACTTGCTAAGGTTTGAAGGTTATATAGCTGCTGGTGTTGGACACACACGCAAAGGAGTTTAATTCCCACTTCCAGGTTCAAGGGAAAGTAGATAAACTACACCAGCGTGAGAGTCTCAATTACCTCTAATGATGAATGATTTAGTCTGGCTTAATTAGTGGACGGATATCAGCTGAGCAGCTAAAATGTAATTAAGTCTCTGCAGACCGAGAGCTAAATGAAG